CCCCAAAACCCCAAAACCCCATATTATCCATAGTTACCAGAAAAGGATTCAAAAAATAGTAAATTAAAGTAGAATCATAGAAATTCAGGAATAACAGATCCATTCTTGAATGTTAATTTCGCAAATGAACCATTCTAGGGTCTGTTTTCGCCGTTAGCCCAAGCTCTCAATAGATCAGCTACCTTATCAGGTGGAAGCCACGTTGATTTATCTGCATCTGGCATCGATTCTCTGTTTGCTTTAGTATCAATCATTGTTGGTAGAATGCATATAACATCTGAAGTCTTTGGCACATCAACTCTTTCAGCTAATTAAAGTACCAAGGAATGAGTGGCTTGCTTTGTCATACCATATGAGAAAGCATAGTTTACTGGACCCTCAAAGACTGCTGCAGCCCCTGTAATGCAAAGAAAACCCTATTCTGCTAAATATCTTGAAGCTAAATGACCAGTTAAAAGTGCACTCTATGCATTCATTCTATCGAGCTTCTCGTATTTTTCAAACAAGTCGTTATCTTTGATATTTCCGACGTCAAAGCCTCCTGCAGTACATATTATTGTGTCAAAGTTTGAGGAGAATTACTTTGTTCTCTAATGAATTGTTTCTAACTATGTTTGAATTTTAACAGTAGATGAAACCTGCAAATTTTCATCTGCATGGTCATTAGGGTTGACATCTATATTCATCATTCTCCAGCCATTTATTTTAAAAGATTAGAGTACAGATCTGCCTAAGGCACCTGATCCACCGACAATTAGTCCCACTTTACTCTTCATTTTTAAGGTCTATTAAAAATTTATAATTATTTATTAAATTTATTAAATTATGATTAGCAGCGCTTAAACGACTAAATAAAATCCCGCCAAACCTGCCACTTAATACAGTGCATTCAAAACTTTGTTTTTTGAGATGCTTTCTAAGAACGGAGAGTTTTCTAAGATAGGAGACTTTAAAAAGGCAAAAATAAGATGCTATGTTAAGGAGACGTACCCAAAATTTTTGATTTCTGATGGTTCCTACTTTATCTCAGGTTATTTTACAAAAGATTGGCTAAAAAATTCGGAAAAAAACAAAATAAGAATCACTGACTTAAATGAGGGACTGATTCTTATTAACAAGTGGAGTATTGAATTAGCAAAAGTTAATTCAGCTGAAGACTTCACTAGTTACAGTGGCATCGAAATGAGATTAATTATTCATGACTTCAAAGTTAACAAAGATGAAGACTTGAAAATGTCAAAATTCCCAACTAATTTATACAGAGATGATGAAGTGAAATCCAGGGTCCTTGAATTCATTGCCGACTAGAGAAGCGAGAAATTAGCAGAGAAAGTTTAGAAAGATACTATCATAGACTCATCATTGCTCAATTAATCAAAGAATACCAGAAGAAATGTAGATCTTAGAAAATTAAATATCCTATCTCTTGAAGACAAATAATTAACTTTAAATGCTGAAGATGATACTTTTAATGGTTTCTTTTTTGATAGCCTTCCTAAAACTCAAATACTTACTCAATAAGAATTATTCATTTTAGAGAAGGGACAAGAAGCCTTAAGAAAGGCAAATATCAATCTGCAGAACTAAAGAGCAAGAGAGGAGCCAATGTAGCAAAAAAAATCAGCTGATAAAACGAAATTGAAAATTGAACCTAGTTCTCCTCAAAAAGGGGATAATTCGAATGTAAAATTGAAGAAATCACTTGCTGTATCAAAACCAACATAAGGGGGCGTTTCAAAACTTAAAATTACTACAACTTACTTGAAAGACGATCCTACTGAAGTAAGAAAAACAAGATCCAAGAGTAAAAGCACCAAAACCACTACCACAACGAAGAGTAAGATTGTATAATCTACTTCTAAATCACCTGGTAAGTAGTCAGTAGTGTCCACATCTAAAAGTCCAAAGAAAGTTGAACAAACCTCTAAAAGTCCAGGGAGAAAAATTTAAATTAAAAAGAGAGTACAGAAGGCCAATACAAAAGCTAACTTAAAGGGTAAAAAAGTTAGTAAAACCGACAATAAGCTCACAGTAGGAAAACTTAAGAAATTTTTGGAATTGCAAGAATAGCAAATGCCACAAGAGCAGCAATTAAGAGTTCAACCCGCTAGATCAGTAAAATCTGGACCTCAGTCAGTTAAGGGATCAGCTAAACCATCAGCAAAACCTTCTGCTAAACCTACTCCTAAAAAGAGAATTATCTGAAATTAATAAAAGTAATTCATTTAGACATACTTTTGACTTTTGGGGTTTTGGGGTTTTGGGGTTTTGGGGT